TGAACACCCCCCTGTTCAGTTCACAGTCGAACATTTGAACCTACAGAATGTTCGACCGTGAACTTCAAACACAAGCAATTTACTGAGCGGTATCTTACCATCATCTGAGTATGCGTTAAGATACCGCTCAGTTACTAAAATACCGCATGAGTTATATTATTAAGTCATGTGGTATTTAAGTAGTGAAACATTCATTAATGTTTCAGCTGTTAGCAGGGTTCCTTGCTGATAGCTGATTGTAAAAAGAATTGTCGGCATTACCTGACAATTAAAAACATTTTTAAAAAATGGCATGGGGTCCCCCTACCATCCATACCAAGCCCTTTGGGTCTGTTATGGATTTTGGGGGGATCCCCATGACATTTTGAATTTTGGTGTGGGGGTCCCCCCAAAATCCATACCAGACCTTTATCTGAGCATGCAGCCTAGCAGGTCAGGAAAGGGGAGGGGGATGAGAGAGTGCCCCCCCCCTCCTGAACCATACCAGACCACATGCCTTCAACATGGGGGGGTGCTTTGGGGCAGGAGGGCTCTCCTCCAAAGCACCTTGTCCCCTATTGATGGAGACAAGGGCCTCCTCCCCACAACCCTGGGCTGTGGTTGTGGGGGTCTGCGGTCGTTGGGCTTATTGGAATCTGGAAGCCTTCTTTAACAAGGGGTCCCCCAGATTCCGGTCCCCCCCATGTGAATGAGTATGCAGTACATAGTATCGCTACCCATTCACAATAAAAAGTGTAGTGTAAAAAACACAGGAAACAGTCTTTGACAAGCAGGGGCGGACTGACAACTCATGGGGCCCCCGGGCAATAGGGGATCATGGGGCCCCTGTGTCCTTGCCCAAACAAAAAAGCCAATGAAAAAGGGCCCCCTACTCACCCTGGGCCCTCGGGCAGTGCCCTAGTTTCCAAATGGACAGTCTGCCCCTGTTGACAAGTCCTTTATTAAAAATAAAAGTAAAAAAAAAATGTCTCCTGAAGTAGATTACGATGCCCGCTGCCACCTGAAAAAAGAAAGAGAAAAAAACCCGCTCCGCTCGCAACGCCTGCTCCCAGCTGTCTGACAGTTGCGCCCTGATGACAGTTCTTCAATACTGTCATGATGCCACAAGGGGATGGGTTCACCCTGCCTCCTTGTGACATCATCCTGTGCTGTGATTGGCCAAAGCATTGCACCTGACCTGTGGTCAGGTGCATTGCTTTGACCAATCATAATGCACGGTCAGGGCGCAGTGCATTATGGGGCACTGTAGGTGAACAGCCCGCCGAATGCCCATGCCATTCATGTGTTCAGTAAACGGTCTATGTTCGAGTTGAACTTGGGTTCAACTTGAACATAGAGCCCAACACCAGTCATCTCTAGTCACGGCTGCTTAAACCATGCCTGTCCACATCTTCCTGTTCATAGTGTCGAGGAGGCTGTCTTGCCTGGCACAGCTATCAGACTTCTAATTGCCAGAACAGTCATATTTATCTGTGTCTTCTTTCTGAAAAGACTGAAGAGGGTTGCTTTGCTTGGGAAAGCTCTGAGACTGCTCATTGCCAGACTAGATAATCCTTCCACAGGGTTTTGTCTGCCACTTAACTAGCAGCTAAAGAAAAATAATAATACAGTCATGAAGTAGAAAATAGTTTGCTTAGTAACCAACCCTAAAGGGTTAACAACTGCTAGATGGAGGTTTATACTACAGCTTCCAACCACAGCCAGATTTCACCAGGTGGTTAATGAACCAAACTTTGCCCTGCCAGAGTGTAGGCTGTGTACCGGGGTGGGCTCCCCAGAATACAGTAAAATCACAAACGAGGAAAGCAACCCCAACACCAGCTTTTGTCACAACAGAATTTTACTTAGATGTGGCAAATAAACACAACCACAAATGCTGGAAACATACAATAAATTTACATACACCCAGCCCAAAGGCTGAGACCCTTGTGCTGCACAGCACGGCGCCTTCTGATGGATGAAGGTAGAAAGTGAAGTAATTTACCTACTGGCGGGCACAACTAAGCTGCCACACCTTACCTGTTATTACCCTAAAAGAGCAGGAATCAGTGTATGGGTGTATGGTATGGGCTAGGCTGCGGTGCAGCACAACAGCTTACAATCTTACACAAATCTACAGTATTCCCCCTCCCATAACTGGTCCTGTAGCACGTGCCTGAGTATTCCTTCTGAGCAAAACGCCAGTCTGGCTTGAGTCTGTAGGATTTTATCAGCTCTCCCTTCCAATGATCAGTAACAACACTTGTGGCCTGACACAAACAGAGACCCTAACTAACTAACTATAGGCCTGGACTCAAGGCGCCAACACTGAAATGAGGTGCGTGCACGATCTTCCCGACCCGGGTCTGCTTTTCATGCGCTGGTGATTCTGAACAGAACAAATGTCTCTCCAACAAGCATGCGGTCTCGCCGTATATGTTGCTTAGTTACTCTGCTCTCATCAGCATTCCTGGCAGCAATCTCATCAGCATTCCTGGCAGCAATCTCATCAGCTTCACTTAACTGCAGCTCTGGTTACGGAGGGATGCTCTCACACCTGGATGTCATCAGATTCTCAGCTCACACGGCCCCCCTCATTCACCATTCTCCAGAACATGGCTGCTCTCTCTCTTCTTCCTGTTCTCTCTCAACTCTGAAGAGGTGGACAAAACTCCACCTCTTCATGAATATAGAAATATCTATGCAGTCTGGCTGTGTTAGAAAAACAATGACATCTTGTGGCTAAACTGCAGAATGTCAGTCAAAACATTTAATTTACTCCACACAAGCAGTATTCAAACAATGAGAGCTGTTTCCCCATCTCACAAGAGAGCAGGAGATCATGAAAATGTTTTGCAACAAAAAGGTAGGAATATGCAACAGAATTACAATAATATTTTGCAATGTACACAGACCATCCAAGGACATTTGTGGCATCATAAAAACCTTCTCTTTTTTTTTTTTCTTTGAGAAACTGGAGAGCACAAACAAAATATAAAAGGATTTCCTATATTCCAACAGGCAATGCTGGCTACAGTAGTTATCCACAGGCGAGTCCTCTACCTTCTCTAGGAATGCTGGTCTTTTGAGAGGGTTAGCATAATGGCATAACAGTAAAGCAGACATAAGAAGCCACCAACAGGTTAATGCCATGTGTAAACAGACTACCTCTGGAGGAGCTCAGGGTATGCAGAGCGGCTGCAGGGAGCAAGGCACAACAATACCCGGCAATGCAGCATTCATTTGGATACAAAGCATTTTTACATTTAGCTCACCAAACTTTCGCCATCCGACTGTAAACTCTGGCACTGCGCAGGTGTGCGTGCCAAGGGGAGAGTCTGCTGACACCACTGCCCAGTTCACATGGACCCAGCGGACCCCATACAAGGCTGTTCGCCATGATAAAAGCCACCCCGAGGACCAGCAACAGGGCTCCCTGGATTATGGGTCATTTAACTAGTACACCAGGGATGGTACATCCAGTTGAAACCCACATGTATGAAAGGACAGCCAGCCGTTAAGACCAGCCAGGTAGAGGATCACACCTAGGTCCTGCACATGGGAGGAAAAAAGAGGAACGCCGAGGCTGCAGGTGGGCTCAAATTTATGAGTTAGATCCCGAGAGTATGGGGGGGGGGACCCTTACCCAGCTGTGCTGACATGGGGGGGGGGGGGGGGGGGCGAGGCTCTTACTCAGCTATGCTGACATGGAGATGTCAGGAAACAGCTTTTTTTTTTTTTTTCAGTTTTGTGTGAACGGTTGTTTAAGCCTTGGTTCACACCTATGCGTTTTTTTGGTGCTTTTTACAGAAACACACTACAGTCCATTTAACTTGGTTTCCTATAGGACACATTCACATCTATGCTTTTTCAATCGCTGTTTTTGGAAAGGGTCAGGTACTTCTTAGAAAATAAAAAATGGTGCATTTTTTTTGGTTCATTATACTTCAAATGGAGACGCTACAGAAAAAACAAGTAGTGCATTTATGAAACATTTTGCATTTTTAATCTGCCTAACCTCAAACTGGACAGAAAAGAGCATACAAAATGCATCAAAAAAGTGTGAAAATGCATCAAAAACGCACCACAAACAGCCCTGTAGAAATGGATCAAAAGCAAGCTGCATAGGTGTGAACCAGGCCTTAGAGTGAAAGATGGCTTTCATCAATAAAAACTGAATTGTTCTTTAATAGGCTCATGGTTTACCATTACCTATATGAAAAACATAACAGTTGTAGTCTCCAGAGCTTTCGCTGATGTATTTGATAACAAGATATAATTATCATAAAAACCTTTGTTGGGATTCTGTAGGGACAAACACACCTAATGTGATCACTGTGTTTGGGAAAACACACTTCTGTAATTGTTCTTCCAATCTGCAGACAATTGCATTTTGTATCCCAAGGTCTGATGCAGCACTTTTCTTTGAATGAATCCACTTATATGAGTGAAATAGTTGATAACTATTATTATATATATAATTATTATGCCAACAGTTTGCACAGTGCTTTACAAAATGAAGGTAGACATTACAGGTACAATACAATTTGGTACAAGAGGAAACAGAGGGACCTGCTCGTTAGAGCTTACAATATAGCAGGAAGGGTTGAGTGATATAAAAGATAATAGCTGTGGGGGATGAGCTGATGGAGGAAATAAATGGCAGTTAACTAGAAGCAGGATAGGCTTCTTTAACCGCCTCCCACCCGCCATATAAGAAAAATGATGGATGGACGGTGGTTCTCTTGTTCTGGGAGGACGTCCTATGATGTCCTCCCACTCTAACCGTGTGTGCCCCCGGGGGCGTGCAGCGCGGCTATCGATGGTGCACTGTGTCCCTGGGACACAGCAGATCACCGATCAGTGAAAAGAGCTGATGACTTTGGCTCTGTCATGTGATGAGCTGTGTCCAATCACACCTCAGAGGGGACATCTACACTGATCATCAGAGCACTGATGATCAGTGCCCTGATGATCAGTGTAGCCCCATCAGCGCCACCTGTCAGTGTCCATCAATGTCACCTGTCAGTGCCCATCAGTGCCACATCAAATCCACATATCAGTGCCTACTACTGCACATCAATGCCACATATCAGTGCCCATCTAAGCTGCATTTCAGTGCCAACTATTAGTGCCAGTCAGTGCCACCTATACGTGATGCCAGTTAGTGCCACCTATCAGTTCCCGTCAGTGCCGCCTAACAGTTCCAGTCAGTGCCGCCTCCTAACAGTGCCAGTCAGTCCCACCTATATGTGCCAGCCAGTGCTGCCTATCAGTGCCGCCTATCAGTGCCATATATGAGTACTGCCTTTCAGTGCCCATCCGTGATGTCTGTCAATGCCCACCAGTGATGCCTGTCAATGCCCATCAATGCCACCTACCAGTGCCTTCTCATTAGTGCCCATCACTGCCACCTATCAGTGCCCATCACTGCAGCCTCATTAGCACACATCAGTGAAGGAGAAAAATCATCACAACAGAAACTAAGAAAAAAAAGTGTTTCAAAATTTTTGTTGTTTTTGGTTTATGTATCAAAAAATAAAAACCCAGTGGTGATTAAATACCACCAAAAGAAAGCTCTATCTGTCTCAAAAAATGAAAGCAGAAAATTGGCCTGGGCAGGAAGGGGGTGAAAGTGCCCAGTAGGCAAGTGGTTAAAGAGAAGGGTTTTCAGGGATTGTCTAAAGGTGGATCATCTGATGGTAGATATAGTTAACTTGTAATTCAAAAAATATGGATAGCGCCACAAAAATTAAACACTATAGTGAAAAAATATAAGCTACACAACCTAACCTTAGAAGGTGCATATATCAGTGGAAAAACAGGTTTGCGCTCATATTAACAACCCAATTATAAATATATCCACAATATATAATCATATTACCTGTAATAATAAAAATAATTAATAGTGTCCAAATAAATTGTGAAAAAAATATATGTATGTATATGTGCCAAAAAAATCCAAACACCAATAAAAGACTATCTTTTTCTTTGTGTCTTAAACGATTTTCACTTTCAAATTAATATCTCTGTGTCCAACCAAATTCACCGTGCAATAATCCACCACCAGATAAATTAAATGAACTCACCAGAGCAATATGCTGATCAAGTTATAAATCAGCATAAGCGCTTTGTTCTCTGGGAGCAATACTCTGCAGGAGAATAATCAGCAATGTGGAGTAATTCCGTATGGTCCCCGCCTCTTCAAATGCTCAGAATGGTACTCGGAAGTCAAGAGAGGAAAAGCTCATGGTGCAGTATCATAAAAACAATTTTTTATTTAAAATCAACATTACACTCACAATCAACAGTGGCTAAGCCGACACCAGCACAAAACAGCGTTCTCAGTATCAAACGAACCCAACCTCCTCAGGCATCCACGAACGCCGACAGCTCAGGGAACGTCATGACGTCACATCCACTATCTCCGCACATATATATATATACATATATTTTTTTCACAATTTATTTGGACACTATTAATTATTTTTATTATTAATATGATTATATATTGTGGATAGATTTATAATTGGGTTGTTAATATGATCGCAAACCTGTTTTTTCACTGATAGTTAACTTGTGTCTGTAAAAGAAAAGAATAGCAAAAATTGTCCTTCACAGAATGCGAGGCTATAATTTACACCTGTTAATCTTGGTGTGGATCAATGTAACCACTGCTTTTTGCTGAATAACTACCTTACTGACTATTGCTGTGACAAAGACAGTTACAAATCTGGAAAGTGCAACTACATGGCCATATTCCTGTAATTTAAAACAACAGGACTCCACTTTATCCTTCGTACATGATGTGGACAGATTTACAGTATGATTGATTTGAGGTTAGTAAATCTCTCCATAGGTCTGATGTAAAGAAAACAATGCATTACTTAAAGTGGCCCAGTCACTGCAGGGGTGTTTGTACATAATGAAGACCCTGTAAAAGACAAAGCAGTATACCTATCTTTGCAGAGGCCCATGTGTTAAAACACTGCTGTTCTGCTTTGCACCATCCACAGCAGGCATTCCACATTTCTGGGTTTGTAGATTACTTGCTCCCCTGCCACACACTGTGGTTCCTCTGACCAGTTTATACATCACTACAGGACATATGAGACCTCCACCCGAGAAGGAGGGAGAATCAATATGCAACATTTCAACACACTTTTTTTAGCGCCACATACACTTTTTTTTTAGCTAACCATATTTTTAAAAGCACTTATGAATGTAACCCTGGGCCACTGTTAGAAATCCCAGGTGTGATTCCTCCACTAAGCAATCTTGTGGTCTGCGGCAATTGCAAAAATTTTCCTGGGCCCCATTTGTTCAGCTGGGGGCTGGGGCAGAATGGTGCTATTTAATGTTTTTCAGGCACAGGGGGAGTAATACTTGTGCTGGAAACCACAGCACAAGGATCACTCCACCTGAACCAAAAATCATGAAACAGTGGAGTAATGCTTGCGAACGGTGGAGAAATCCTTGTGCTGTGGTTCCCGGCAATTAAATTAAAGTTCTGAGGCCTTGACTTTATTTTAATTGTCGGAACTGCAGCACAAGGATTACTCCACCTGTGTTCAAAAAACATTAGTTCTGTACTTTACTCCGGCCCCAATTTGGACAATTGGGGCCTAGAGAAGTTCTTTTGTTAAGCAAGCTGTCCTTTGCCAACATACATACAAGTCTTTAACTGCTCCCCCCCTGCCCACTGTACATAAACAGCTGGGTGGGACAAGTGCTGTTCTCACAAGATGTACCCGTATGTCCTCTCAAACCAGACTCTGGGGCCGTGCAGTGGCATGATCCTGTGATGGCTGTGCCCCTCAGACACAAATTGGAACATGGGCTCTCTTGACTGGCCCTCAGGATCATGTGATGGCTGTGTCCAATCACAGCCATCACACAATGTAAACAGAGGCATATGCCTTTGTATCAGCTTTCCTTGTGAGAGCTCAGTGAGGAGAGGGAAAGCAGATTGCTGCAGCTTGTCAGTGATCTATGTGTTGCTGATGTTTCTTTGCAGCTACACAAAGATCACACACAGTGCAACCATCCCACACCAGTGCACTAAGCACCATCTATCCCTGTCTGAGTGCACATCAACATCTGCACCAGTGTCCCATCAACATTTGTCACAGTGTACCAGTGTCCCATCAACATCTGTCACAGTGTACTAGTGCACATCAGCATCTGCAATAGTGTCCCATTGCAACATCAACATCTGTCAGTGTCCCATTGCAACATTGACATCTGTTGGTGTCCCTAGTGGACCATCAACATCTGTCACAGTGTACCTTTCCAGAAAAACATCTGTCAGCATACCAGTGTCCTATCATTGTCTGTCACAGTGTACCAGTGTCCCATCAACATCTGTAACAGTGTTCTATTGTATCAACATCTGTCAGTTTCCCTATTGAACCATCAACATCTGTCGGTGTCCCTAGTGGACCATCAACAGCTGTCAATGTCCCTAGTGGACTGTCAAAATCTGTTAGTGTCCCAGGCCAGGTATAAGTAGTGGGGTGCCAGGTCCACCTCAAAGAATTAGGGTCCATACCACATGTATTATCATCATACTCAGGAGGAATAGCAGAATGTGTTTTGAGGTGTAATTCTAAGTATGCCTGTGACAACTTTTCACATTTCCCATAAGCTTGTGGCAAAAAAATGACATGTTCAAAGACTCAATATGCCTCATAGAAAATACGCTGGGGTTTTTGCTTTCCATAATGTGGTCATTTTGTGGGTGTTTCCACGATCTGGGTGCTACAGGGCCTCCAAAAATGTGATAGGTAGTCAGAAAATTGGACGCGTAATTTATGCCCCTATAATGCCTGAAGGTGAAACTTGGATTTTGGGCCTCCCTATGTGGCTAGGCTGTGAAAAAGTCTCACACATGTGGTATCACCATACTCAGGAGTAGCAGAATATATTTTTGGGTGTATCTCTTAGTATGTCCACGCTATGTGTTAGAAATATCTTATAAATTGACAACTTTGTGTAAAAAAACAAGTTTTTATTTTCCTTCCACATTTTCTAAAAATTTATGGCCAAAAAAATTACATGTTCAAAAGACTCAATATGCCTCATAGAAAAAACATTGGGGTGTTTGATTTCCAAAAGGTGGTCATTTTGTGGGTGTTTTCATTGTGCTGGTGCACCAGAGCCTTCAAAAGTGTAATAGGTAGTCAGGAAGATGAGTAATTTAGGCTCCTTGAAAGCCCAAAGGTGCTTCTTGGATTTTGGGCCCCTCTATGTGGCTAGGCTGTGAAAAACTCCCACATGTGGTATCCACTTACTTGAGAGAAGTAGCAGAATGTGTTTTGAGGTGTAATTGCAAGTAAACCACCCAGCAGTGATTAAATACCACCAAAACAAAGCTATATTTGTCTCAAACAATTATACAAATTTTCATTTGGGTACAGTGTTGCATGACTAAGTAAATATCATTCAAAATGTGTGAGCTGAAAACTGAGAATTGGGGTGAAAGTGTCCAGTATTAGGGTGGTTAAAAGGCTCTTGACATTTGTATTGTGATCTACCAAATGAAGAGGCAGAGGACTGCTTTGAAATGCACTGCATTACTTGTACATCAATAAACAGAATCTTTCCCTAAATGCTCCTGAATGTGATTGTCCGAGAGAACATCCACAGAGGGGTATTGAATATAGTCAGGGCTTTCAAGTGGAATATGTATCCATCTTGGCCAAAGGACATCAATGGCAGCAGCATTTGACATCCTTGGCACCTGCACTGGTCATGATGTAGAATGTATTGCTGTAATACATTAAAAGGAGTTGCTCAGCATTTGTACAAGGTGAGCACATAATGGTTACTATATTAGAACTTGCACAGTGTTCTTAAATGCGCCCTCTCATTGAGGCACCACTCCACCACCTGCAGGGAATTTTCATTTTGGGAATACTTTCCTTTTACTTCAGTTCACCTCCCCAACTGCAGGAGTGGGTGTGACTTTCTTAAGAGACTAGATCTAAATGGGTATGTGTCATCCATGGGACAGACACAGCGATCACCAGCGGCACCAGGTGCGTGCCGCTGGGGGCACACAGGGGGCATGTTCTAGAATGATGTCCATGGACGTTGTCCCAGAACTAGACAACCGCGCTGTAGCCGTCCTTCGGCCATAGCGCGGTAGGGAAGAAGTTCAAGGAAAATTCACCTTTCATAACATGTGACACCCATATTCAGCCCCTGCACCCCCGATCCATGTTGTGGCAGTTAGCAGGGGATCTTCTTCCCCTGCTAGTGGTCACAATTTTAAAAAAATAACATGTCTGTTCTGTGAATGGGAAACTACAAATCCCAACAGCCTATACAGCTTTTGGCTTGTAGTTCTCAATGAACTACCAGGGCACTGTTGACCTCTCTAGGTAGTTCATTGTCTCTTCCTGTCAGTGTGTATCTGCTTGCCTGTATGAGGTACAAACAGTTTACACTGACAA